TCCAGTGGGGGTATACCCAATTCTTCGCCGCCGGTACGAAGCCGCCACTCGAGAACCTTTCTTCCCCATCGGTTGTCGGTTCTTCGAGTTATATGGCCGGCCCATTGCCAATTCAGCTTACTAATCCGTTGGGCTATGTCGGTCACTCTGGTTCTGCTGGGGATATCCTCATTTCTAAGTTTATCACGCAGAGAAACTCCGAGCATAGCTCTCTTCATAGCTCGCTGAGCAACCTTCAGCTTCCTCATCCGGCCAGCAGTGAAGGACCACGTCTCAGTTCCAAAGGTCATCACTGGCAACACGCACTGGTTGTATAGTCTCGTTTTCAAGTTTTGAGGTAAACCTAACGGAAGATGTGCCGTAATTTCCCGAACGCTGCCCAACAGAGTTGAATCCGTCGACTGACATCTCGGTCTAAGGTGGACTTACCTAGTCGGACCATTTGTCCCAGGTAAACATACACGTCAACAACTTCGAGCTTAGTGCTCCCAACAACTACCGGCATAGTTTTGACATGGACATTAAACATAATCTTTGTTTTGTCCATGTTCATCTTAAGACCTATCCGTTGGGAGACACCATTGAGGTCATTGAGCATAGTGCTTAGGTCCTCCAGCGATTCTGGCATAAGGACTATATCGTCGGCAAATCGAAGGTGAGTGATGTACTCGCCATTGATGTTAATACCGTATCCTTTCCAGTCCAGAAGCTTGAAAATGTCTTCCAATGCAGCTGTGAAGAGTTTCGGGGACATAACGTCACCCTGTCTTACACCTCTCTGTAATTGGATAGGTTTCGTACTCTGGTTCTGTACTCGGATAGCCATCGTAGCCCTACTGTACAAGCACTTCAGCACTTCGATATACCGACAGTCAACTTGGCACCGCTGAAGGGACTGCAGCACCGCCCCAATTTCGACGTAATCAAAGGCTCTCTCATAGTCCACATACGCCAGACATGTGGCGAATTGTACTCCTAGAACTTCTGTACAATTTGCCGAAGGGTATGTATGTGGTCTATGGTGCTAAAGCTCTTTCGGAAACCGGCTTGTTCGGGAGGCTGGAAGTCGTCAAGTCTGCGTGCGAGACGATTCGTAATGACTCTCGAAAACAGCACGTAGACGCGGCTCAGAAGGGAAATCGGTCTGTGGTTCTTCAAGAAAGCATTGTCACCTATCTTGAAGAAAAAGACTTCTGCTACACGCCTTCGGTGTAATGCCACCATGGAGGACGGATTTAAAGAGCCTCTGAAGGGCTTCCAGTACCGGTTTTCCACCCGCTTTCAGAAGCTCCGCTGTAATTCCATCCTCGCCTGGGGCCTTGCCGTTTTTAAGATGCTGGAGAGCCATTCTAATCTCGCTTAGACTGACGTCCGGGATATTTTCGGAATAGTGTCGGATAAGACTCGCTCTTGGATCGTTACTCACACTTGCGTGTGGCTCCAACGATGACGTGTACAGCTGTCCATAAAACCTCTCAATCTCACTCAAAATCTCAGGTGCCCTGGAAACGATGCTGCCACACTCGGTCTTCAGCCTTGACAGTTGGCTCTTTCTGGCAGACAGATCTCTGGCAAAGGCTTTGGAGCCTTGGTTCCGCTCGATTGCTTCTTCAATACAAGCTGTATTGAAGTTGCGTAAGTCCCGCCGCATGCATTTGGAGATCTGTCTGTTCAGTTGCCTGTATGCTGTCAAATCTGTTGAAGAATGTAGCTTCATCTTCCGTCTAACAGCCATGAGATTAAGAGTGTGATCGGAGAGTTTTTGTATTCTTCTGCGGCGAGTCTTGCAGAACTTAGCTCCAACCGCATGGACAGTTTCCACGAGCTTGTCATTCATATCGTCCACTTCATTGCAGTCTTCTAGGCACTGAAAACGATTTTAACTCGAACTGAAAGGTTTCAGGACTTTGGAACAGAGCACGAGGGGGACGGAGCGTTGACTTCATTAGACGAGACCTCTCCAACTTAACGTTTAGGTTCAGTGTGCCTCTAACCATTCGGTGATTGCTACCAGTTTTCACCCTCGCAATCACGGAGACATCACTGAACAGTTGTCGTCTGGTCGTCATAATGAAGTCAATCTCATTTTTTGTCGAACCGTCGGGGCTCGACCAGGTCCACTTCCTATGGGGCCGCTTCTGGAAGAAAGAGTTCATCATAAAGAATCCCTCTTTCTCCATGAAGTAAGCCAGCTGCTGGCCCCTTGGGTTCCGTTGCCCTATTCCAAATTTCCCTATTTTCAGCTCACCGTTCTCTCTTGTGCCTAGTTTTGCATTGAAGTCTCCCATTAACACCGTATATTGGGTTTTGGGAATGCATGGCTCTAGAGATATCCTCATACATTTCCTCCACCTCCTCATCGGGGTGTGCCGAGGTTGGTGCGTAAACCTGTATGACCTTCAGCGAATACTGTTTGGTGCTCAGAATCATAAGGTACGCAACCCTCGTCAACACAGTCCCGATCTTTACAACGTTGTTAACGAGAGACATGTGGACGATAAATCCGATACCTCCTTGGGACAGATGGTTGCCCTCCCAGTGATTGAGCAAATTTCCGGATTCGAGGATTACCGTGTCCTCCCCCTCTCTTCGGACTTCGGATAATCCTATAATATGCTAGCGTAACTTGTCTATCTCTTCTTCCAGCTCCACGATGTTCTCGTCAGTCCTCCGGGTGCGTGCGTTGTACGTTGCCAGGTCCAGTCGTCTAAGGTGGCAACCGAACCTCCACCGGAGATTCTTAGCACCCCCTGCCCAGCCGTTACCATGTTCGCCACCGTAGCCAAGAATAGCGGGGCCGCCGGGGACTGGGGACCGTGTCCTTAGTACTCTCTCCATAGCGGGGTATTTGCCATAGTCCACGCTTGGTGAGCGGGTTGGCAACCGCAGTTTTTTTATTGTAATTTTGGCTATTATCAGGAAGATGCTGCTGCCCATTTCCTGCCTGTTTCCCTTTGTCGCCTTTTACGACACCCACGGGAAGATATGGGGTAGTGGATATTCTTAACCGCCACTACACGGCTTAGTTTAGCGTGTAGTGGCGGTCAAGAATAATAGCGGAGGAATCAAAGCATGTAATTCCTGCGCACACTCACCAAAATGCATCCTATAGAATACCTAGAGGCTGGTTACTCTACGCTTGTATTCAAGACCTCTTGACACGTCTCTCTAATAAGTTGAACGCTACCAAGTGGCATTTAACAGCAACAGCCCATATGTGACAGCAATACTCGATGCACGACCGAACTCTCACTTTATATAAGGTAAAAAGCTGCCCCAGCGTGAAGTACCACCGCACCCTTGCAAGGATACTTAGTTTCATTGCGGCTGCTTTAGCCCTAGACTAAAGGAACCGCCCATAGTTGAGGTTCGGACAAAATTCAAGCCCTAACAACTGCAGGCGGTCAGTGTACTCTAACATATACATTCCGGAAGAATTCAGAAAGGATATAAGCCAGTGCGGGCTCCCAGAGTGGGCTCCCTTTAGCGGTGAAAAGACACGCTTGTGTTTTGTAGACGTTAAATGTCACGATATTGGCATCACTCCATTCGAAGACTGCCTGCAGTAAGAGATTGGCACGTTCAACCATAGCTTCTCTTTCGGACTGTGGCATTTGGCCGGTACCTCTCCACAACTATGCTGTCATTTGCATACCCATAGATACTGGGAATAAATAAATCATTAATATGCAGCAGGAAGAGAGTTGCGGAGAGAACGGACCCCTGCGGAACTCCGGCGTTTGTTGCGATAAGACTGGACGAGCAAACATTGATGACGGCTTGAAGAGATCGCTCACTTAGAAAGTCCTTCACCCAGTCAATCAGGCCAGGGGTAAGCCGTACGCTGAAAGCTTGGTCAATAGGCTAGTGTCCCAAACCCTGTCAAATGCCTTCGAGACATCAAGGGAAACAGCAAATGCTTTCCCACTATTCTCGGGGCCTTCGCCCCATAATGTCAGTGGCATACGCTAAAAAGTCGCAAGATGATCGGTTTTGGCGAAACGCGTACTAGCGATCACTGAGGAGATCATTCTGCACTAGGTATGCCATAAGGTGGGCGTTCAATATACGCTCTATAATCTTGCAGAGTATGGATGTGTTGAGAATGGCCGATAGAAAAAATAGTTACGTCAAAACGCTATTTTCACAAATTAGTCTAAAATGTATACTGGTATCCATAACAAATGCACGACGAAAAGCCGAACTGCTTACCATGTTTTATTACAATTTAGATTGTTACAGTTTTAAACAGTTAACCTGTTTATCTTAAATAGGTTATATAATGACGATGACCTCGACCTCCAGATTAAATTTTGGTCACGGCGGCAAATTTTAACGGAGGCTAGCCATCTGCGCAGAATAGGATTATAGTGCCCGAATGTTAGAGTAGGTGAACTCTCTATTCTTTCACTCTCATCGTCTGATGGGAAAGTAACCAAAACATCGCCAACTTTCTGCGAACTTCTACTGAGAATTTCTTAAAAGCAAAACTCAATTGACTGGTTTTTTGGACCGACCCGGCATTCAAACCTGATATCTCATGATCAGCAGTTATATTAACGTGCACTGGTCCAACGAAGCAGTGATGTTAAAAAAAATTTAATAAAAATTGATTTGTTGCCTGTAACAGAGTACAGTTTTAGATCTAAATAAAACGAAATTTAATTGCAAATTAATTGTAAAGAGTTTTATTTGTCCCAGGTGAAAAGAGAAATCCCACCTTTTTTAAATCTTCGTGACCGTTTGTCCCTTGAAGAAGAAAAAATTTGGCAGCCCTATTTTCGACCATAAATTATTTATTAATAGCTCAACCACAGAATATATAAAAGCTAAACGTATTTCCCTTGAGCAATGGTAATATTTTGTCCGTCATATTTACATCGCATTAATGCGTTATTTATGTATAAAAAACCTAATAATCTGTTTACGTATGAGTAATAATAATATTATACGTATCGAAGCTAGTATCATTTAAAATATCGTGGAGTACGGCCGTCGTAATGAAGTTTAATTTAATTATTATTGCTTTGTTTTCAACGTGTTATTGTAAAGTAGAATTTAGTGACAGGGCGAGAAATTTCAGTGTTGAACTCTTATACTACACCGCGGAAGAAACTGATTGGCATACAGTGATATCGCCGTTTGGTGTCTGGTCTCTGCTGACCGGCGTCTCTATCGGAGCTACGGGGCCCAGTAGACTACAACTAACAAATGCATTAGTGATACCGAACAACCTAAATACTCTTATCAAAGGCTACAAATCACTAACACAATCTGTGCTCACAGCTGAAACCCTAGACGTGGAGATATTAAACAAGAATTATCTATTCACTGACAGCGACTTTCAAATTCAGAAAGGATTTCTTCGGAGCATACAAAGTGATTTCGATGCAAAATTGACCAAGTTACACTTCGATTTGCCAGAGGAAGCAGCAGCCATAGCGAACAGTGTTATCCAAAAATCTGGAGCTACCGTTTCCAATGTTCTTAGATCTGATGATTTTGAAAATTCAAAAATGATAATTACAAATGTCATTTCTTTCAAAGGCTTCTGGCGGTCACCTTTTAACGTTACGGATACAAGAGTAGAAGTATTTTACGATGAAAACAAAAATGAAGTCGGCAAAGTTAACATGATGTTCCAGCAAGGGGAATTCCCGTTTTCTAATATTCGTCCATTAAAAGCCACGGCTTTGGAGTTGCCTTATGGAGATGACACCAACTACTCGTTTTTAGCCCTCCTACCGTATCCAGGTGCTAAAGTAGCTGATGTGTACCGGGGCTTAGAATCAGTGAGCCTTAAGGATATTCTAGCGCAACTTCAAAGTGACATCAAAAACTGGGGCTTGACGGACGTCTTGGTCAGTTTGCCGAGGTTCAAAATTAGTTCAAACCTAGTTCTAAATAGACCACTAAATTATATGGGCGTTTACGACATTTTCGATCCGAAAAAAGCTAGCTTCAAGACTATTACAGAAGCGAATAACATATTTGTGTCAGCGATTGTACACAAGGCTGACATAGAAGTCACAGAGTTTGGGACAGTGGCGTCTGCGTCCACTTCCGCATACTTTGCAGATCGAATTTTGCCCCCCTCTTTCCATGCAAATCGGCCATTCATATATTTCGTAATTGAAAAAACTACAGCAACGATTATCTTTAGTGGTGTTTATTCGAAACCATCGATTTTTTAAATAACAGTATCTACATGTACAGTGAAAAAACAATTAAAATATGGCGCGCATGCCTTTTGTAATAGACACATTTATAATATCTACTAAATTAAAAATGTTGTTGGTAGTTTGGCTGCATTTTACGCCGTTTTCTTCACATTTTAGATTAATATAGATGGAGCAAAATATTTGTATTAAAACGACACGACCAATTTCTGATTAGTTGTTTGGTCACATGAATAATTATGCATTTAAATTATGCCACACGGTACTTCATATTTCCGTAAATAACTTCAAAATCTGACATTGTATGTGATCGACATCGTAACGTGATATAAAGGACAGAATGACAAAACTTCCTTCCAAAGAAATTTTCTTTCCAAAATGGGTTCCTTAATAAATTATTGCTCTTATTACGGTCTCATATTATCGCCATGGTATTTACAATTATTCAGTGTTATCATTTTAACAATAACACATATACTCTTGGTTATTATCTTTATTTATAAAAATTACATGTCACGTTGTTTGTCCCCGATGAACTCCTAATCTACTGAACTGATTTCCATGAAATTTTGCACACCGTATGCATATAGTCCAACTTGAGTTTTTATCCCTATAAGTAACCCTCAATACTTTTTATTGTGAATTTAAGGATTTTTCAAAGGACAAAGGGTCGTCTGAACGGGCAGAACAACGTTTGCCTGGGCAGCTAGTCTCTATATATAGAAATCAATTGCTGTCCGTTCGTCTCGCTAAAACTCATAAATGTCTCGACTGGTTTTGATGAAATTTTTGTTTGTGCTTGAGTGCTCTGAATGGTTTAGATTCATAATTTGACCCGGTAGATGGCGTTGTTGTCGAGATCTAGAAAACACCCACGCGAAGCCGGGCGGGGTCACTAGTTTAATATATATTAAAATATACAATATTTATTACCATAATTTAAAAAAAAACTAACACTAAAAACTTAAATTGTTATAGTATCTGTGGCATAGTTCATATGTTGATGTATTTTCTCTGTCATATGGACAGTTTAAAAAAGAAATAGAAACTGTAATGTGTAGCTAAAATTAATATTTCACTTTAATATTACACTTTACTTTATTTTGTCTTTAGTTCTACACACCAAATTATGTTATGATGTTCGCTTGCTGTCGATGAGATACTTAACTTTGGAAACTTTATTGTTAATTGTATGATTAATATGTGCTATGTATTAGGTAGACTAAAATTATGTATGTTTCCCTTGAAAATAAAATAAATAAATAGTTCCAAGAATACTAGCTATGATTCCTCGCTGAATGACTTGCCTTTGAGCGAGTAAAGATCCAGCCCTCTTATAACCATCGATGACGACAAGTCACGAAAACAATTTCTTTATGAACTTCACCGCACGCAGACCCCACAGACCGATAATCTCTACAGCAAACAGCACAAATATGTAGTCATCTCTCAGGGACTTTCAACCATTTACTCACTTCATTCGCCACTGATGCTGCCTCGGCTTCCGAGGTACTCAAATTTAATATTATATAAAATTTTTGTAAACATTCATATTATGTATCATATCAATTGCCACTGCGGAACATCACAAGTCGACTGTTAAACGAAGGTTGATAGTAAGACGAACGACTGTTGAAAGTAAGACGAACGACTGTTGAAAGTAAGACGAACGACTGTTGAAAGTGTGCCACAGTTTTGACGAAGACAAGTCTGATCTGAAGATAGACTTGTCTATCTTACCAGGTCGTCACTCCATAAAGTTAGGGGCCGCGCCACACTTCGCTTACTGGAATGAGACTGCCACTCGAAGACCTTTCTTCCCATCGGTCGGATAGCTTTTCAAGCTATATTGCCTACCCGTTACAACTTTAGCCTCCTAATCCGGTGAACTATGTTGGTTACTCTGGTTCTACTGTGAATGTCTTCATTACTATAATTTTATCACGCAAAGAAACTTTGAATATAGACCTCTCCATAGCTCTCTGAACGACATTAACTTTGTTATGTGGTAAGTACCATTTTTTACGTGGTAGAGTCACGCTGCAGCTATATTATGGTTGTAACACGAATGGGTCGGCTCTATCGGGGTAGGACCACGCTCTCACAGAATACCAGCGTAAAATAGCAGCTTACGCTGCTGTGTTTCGTATGGTGAGTGTAAACAACCTGAGACTCTTTTTACTGGAAACGAGGCATTCTATCTTAGTCCTCCAGGTGGACAACGCATCTGCATTTTGATTTAATTACCATCAAGTGGACTGTGTGCTCGTTTGTCACCCTATATTATAAAAAAATGCATTAAAGGAATACGTCTTAGATACCTATATCATCACTGGTAAACGCACCGTTTGCACACTCTTGTTTTCAGGTTTTCAAAAATACGTGACGTGATGTGATGTAATCTTACGAACACTCGTTTTCGTTACTTTCCGATCGTCATTGTCTTTTACGGGGTGGAGCCACGCTGTAGCTATACTATGGTTGTAGCGCGTGTGGGTCAGCTCGTTGAGGGTAGAACCACGCTCTCACAGATTACCAGCGTAAAATACCAGCTTAATTAATTAATGCTGCTGTATGTCGTATGGTGACTGTAGAGAACCGGCGACTCTTTTTATTAAAAATAAGGCATTTCAGCTTAGTCCTAAGGTAACGTAGCATCTAAATGTTGATTCTTAATCCAGGATAAATGGAGATATTTATGGACCACGGAATTCATTTACCATCGGGTGGACTGTGCGCACGCTTGACACCCTTATTCTATAAAAAAACCTCTCGGTGATAAATAAACACACAGTTCATCCGATAGTAAATGGATGCTATAGCCTATAAACAGATACATACGTCTATTCTTGATTAAGAGTTAAAGTTCGGATGTGTCGTCGCCCCTGAGGACTAAGTTGGAATTGTTAAAAACAAATCAAGGCTACTTAAGAATAGCAGTGTGAGATCGGAAATTCAAGTTGTTCTCATGCTTACAGAATTAATAATTAACAGCATTAAAACAGTGGAACGCAATAAACATACAGCATACAAGCGTAATGAGGTCTAATCATTTTATGGTCACCAGATGTCGCTAGTTGTGACTAAGGTGAAATTATTTCTTACGCAGATGGTCACACAGTATCATCATCATTGAAATGTTGCGAGTTTATGTACTATTATATTCACAAAACAATGCCTCAGTGCTGTATTCTTTTTTTTTTTAATTAAAAACCTTAATTTTAATTCTCTTACTTTTAGGAATATACGTAGCTTAGTTTATCCATTTCTAATTGAATTAATATAAAATATATCTACTCTTTCAGAAAGAAACATTAACCTCTACACTATTCTAAAAAAATTACTTCCCCCTATGAAATCTCTCAAATATTTTGGCGCCGCCGCGCCGTGGTGTCAAAAACGTCATGGATACCCTCATTACAATTCAAGTATACCGTCATATTTGTAGTCTCAATCACACAGATACAGTTATTGTGATGGACATTATTACATTATATCGCCAAAACAGATGATTTAAAACCAACAGCAACATATTACATCGTGATAAGCAGTATCTTGGTGATAAGATATAATACAGAGCTAAGCAGTAACACTGGTCATCTTCACAAAACAGAATCACGAAGAACAAGATACCAGATTAAAAGACCTGACAGAAAATGCCTCGTTATCAGTAAAATTGATCTACGGTTCTTGTACAAATACATAACGCAGCAGCTTTAAACTGCTACTTCGCGGTGGCATTCTGTGATCCTTTTCTAGTCTAGCTGACCCATAAGCGATGCAGCCATATATAATGCACTCTACCAAATGTTACTTGTAGGCGTGGTGAGCACTAGAAAATAAGGGGCACTTACGTCATGCGACCTTGAATTCGCCTTTGCTCTGACTAAAATGTATTTGCAACATTTTGAGTATTCACAATTGATGTGTTTATTATTTAATAATTTTTTCCGTGTTTATTTGTAATAATAATCAATTGAAAAGAGATGAATATGATATGAAAAGTTTTTCTTACTGGCGTAGAAAACGTTTCTAATCATTTGTAGATTTGCGTTATTTTAGTCTAAACAATTTTTGACAATAATTTTAATTTCACCCTCTAAAAGAAAGTGTCATCCTCACTTCTATAAAAAGTAAATAGGAAGCAAACGAGCATGTAGTTCACCTAATGGTAAGTGAACACCGCTGCCCGCAACACCACTCGAACGACACATAGGTACTGCTCTGTAAACGACTAAACGATAACTCATTTAGCCGAGTGTTGTGAGAGGGTGCAAATTTATCTATTACTAGCTGTGTCCCGCGGTTTCACCCGCGTCATCACGTGTCCGAGGTGCGCGACATGACCTAGTTCAAGCATTTTATAACGGCTAGGGTTTAAGCGTCGTTCGCGCGCCCAGCCAAGTATTGAATTATTTTAATTTTACATTATCTCTTAAACTATGCGTCCAAATAACATGGTATAAAGAACAAAGTTTATCTTCATAAAATTGTTCAAATCGGACTGGTAATTCCAGAGATTAGCGCGTTTAAACAAACAAAAAAACAAAAGACTCTTCCACTTTATTATATTAGTATAGATTATTATTATTACTTAATTTCAATGTGCAGTTCACACGCGGTAGAAGAGAAACCTTCAAGGGAAATGAATTGTAAAATGAAAATATTTCACGGCAGATGATTTATTTAACATGATCATTTTTAACCACAAGTGCGGCATAAAATATAGGATAAAAGTTTAATAATTTTAAACCAAATAAATGTTACAATCCTTATTTTAGTGTGATAAATCAAAAGAATATTTTGTTTTAAGTAAAATTACTTTGTAACAGCGCCATCTACTTCATTATACAAAAATTAATTGACTCTCAAAATGTACGTAAAATAGCCGCTAGATGACCTGAAGTTATGAAATCGTGAATAGTTATAAATGGATTGGTATATTAAGATAATTGTAATCAATATGGTTAATTTTATTTATTTAATAAATTCATCAATTTTTCATATTTATATCA